TCCAGTCAAAACCATGGAAACTTCTCTGGATGTTCAAAGGATGAAAGGCCCCTTCTATCAACTAGAGAGTTTGGCTTGCTCCTCTGTGCAGTTTTCTCCCAAGCTCATGTAGTGGGAGGAGGGGAGACATCACCTGGATCTTAATGCCTCTAAAGTGTAGGTGGACTCTCCTGCATAGTATTTGGTCTGTGTGAATTCTAGGGGATGGCCCCATTTCACCTGTTCAGCCTCAGTGCCACAGTTCCTGCATTTGCTGTTCATGTTCCTATCAACAGGCATCTCAGGCTGATGATGAGTATTTTGAATAATTTAAAATGTGGGTGATTTGTGTTTAAAGAAACCACGGAGAAGGAAATTAAACAGTCATGATAATAGGAGCCCAAGACTGAAATAAGAATTTTAGTAGAGCAGTGTTTAAGGAAGTGACTAATAGTGAGGATGTATCAGGTAATAGTAGTCAAAGGTTTTGTAGTCAAACTGAAAATCTGAATCTCCGTAGTAAGGACAAATGAGTGAGTCAAAATTGAAGTTTTGCCTGAGGTTTTCATTTACTTACCTAATTTGGACACATAGAGCTGTATGAAGTTTGGTGTTGTAAGGAACTGCTGAAGTCGAGATGTTCAGAAGGTGAAGAAAAGTTTAAAGTAAACAAGAGGTTATATGTAGAGCCATGTCCAGATACAAAATTAGTATCTGCTTCCTCATCTGCAAAAATGATCAGCAGATACCCACATCTGCAAATGCGGATGCCCATAGATATAAAGTGCACATTTGCAAATTTGCGGGGTTCTAGATACAAAATTTGAATCTGCATCTGCATCCACATCAGCAAAAATGAACCACGGATATCCAGATCAACATCTACAGAGGTGGATACCCATGGATATAAAGTGGATATCTGTAGATTTGCAGGCCTCTGTTTATATGAAAGAGAGAGCAGTTGAGCCATTATTAAACATATGTATGTTTGCTAAGCACGGGCAACATGCAAATCTTTTTCTGTTCCATAAAACTTGCAATAAGGTGTGTGTATACTAGCTCCAATTTCAGCCATTGAGAGATGAAATCCCCCTGGTCATTACAAAGACCAGACAAATAGACAGCAATCAAATTTCACCTGCCCGAAAGCTCACAGGGAGGTTTAGGCTTGTGTACTCTAGGTGGAATTTTTAAAAGCTTGTCAAAATGTACAAAATACCCTAATACTGTTTTTCTTCATCTGCTCCATAAACTGACAGAGTCAAAGCTCAAGAGGCCTCTGTCATCAAAAAATAGAAACACTATCATATAATTTACGTGACCAATCACAAGCTAACACAGCTTGAATTGCAGATATCCAGTACTGGCTTTTCTACTGAACTGGACCTGATCAAAGTGTAGCGTTAAACCTTGTGTCAAAGTCTATAGAGAAAATTAGAATAATAAATAAATTTAGGGAAATTACAATCCCCTCATGAACATTCCATAATCAGAAAAATAAAGAGGCTGTTGTAAAAAAAAAACCAACCTGTTCTCGCTCATTAAGTTCATTGAGAGATTGCCCTCTTTACCAAATAGTTTTCATATTCTCCTTCAGAATAAAATGTGGTATGTATTTTCATCTTAGTAATATTACATTTCTAGTGATATTTAATTTCCATACAGGATAAGCACAGCAATGTATTGTATGGCGAAGAGATACCACTAGGGATGTAAGCAAGTAGTTGAGTCGACTATTCGACTACTCACATTCCACCCTCACTCCGCTGCCTCTATATCAGAGGCAGCAAGGGTGTGAGGGGAACAAGAGCTGGTGCTGGGGGAGAGGGGAAGGTGGTTTAAAAGCCAATTCCCCCCAACACCATTTCCATGGTTCTACCTCCCCTACCCCAGCACAGCTGCCTCTATTAGAGCAGCGCAGGGGAGGGGCAGGGGAGGCTGCCATAAAGCAGCCTCTACCCACGGCAGGCCCAGGCTTGCCCTGAGCAGAAGCTGCTCCACATCCCTCTGAGCAGCCCCTGCCCAGCCTCTGTTCACAGCCAACCGTTGCCGCCACATACAGGGCAGCTTCGCGGCAGCAGCTCCTGTCTGCAGGGGGTCTCTGTGATTCTGTGAAACTGCAGAGCCACAGAAGGGGTAGCTCCTGGACCCAGCACAAGCTGGGACTGAGCACGTTCCCTTATCAACTAATCATGTAGCTGATGGAAATTGTATCGACCATACGATTAGCCAGTTGCCCACCTCTTAACATCCTTATGTAACCCACACACCTAGTGAGTTTACTGAGCAATGCAAGTGGTACCGGGACCACAGCAACAGCTAAGATCAAGAGATCTCTACAGCACGGGCTGGGATCCAGCTGGCTTTTAGCTCAGAGGGTAGAGGCTCCTATACTCCGCTTCAGAGGTCCCAGATTCAAGTCCACCTGATGATGGTTACACTTAGATATCTCTAATGTCATGCTTGGTATACTACAGTTTAAGACCCTAATTTGGACCTCAGATCATGGATAGAAACAAAAGAGTTAAACTGTGTTCTCTTAGAAACATGATTTCGGCTCTCTAATAATTTGTGAAACATTTTGTAAAATGAATACTCCTGGTGAGTAAATCCACTACTGTATTATTCATGCAGCAGATAAATTCTATGAACTTAAGTCTATCACATGTTTAACTTTAGCAACACCAAAAAAAATAGATAAAGTCAAGGATAGTTCAGTTTGTATTTGAAATTTTGTTTTAATTAATAAAAGTGGCCACGATGTTGAACTATTTTTATATCCCCTTACCATTGTGATAATGGAGCATTCTGTAAGTGTTACACCGCAGGTATGTATCCTGTTCCTCCATTTTGATTAAAGATGGTGGTAGAATTTTCAGCAGATCAATTAAGCTAAGTGGCTAGAACATTCTTAGCTGGCTCTTGATAAAGTTTCCATTACCTGCAACTTGAGAAGCTATCTTAGTACCCGCTGACTTGATTTAAATTGCTGGTGCAGTGGAAAAGTACCATTTAGTGAATATTCATATTTCTAAGATGTTAACTCATGGCAAAACGTCATTTTTGTCAGAGAACGATAGTATTTTCCAAGAAAAATGTCTAATTTCACCACGTTGTGCAACATTGTGGGGTTGTTTTAAATGAATTAGTCACAAGTGGAAATTTTGCCGTTTTCACAGCAAAAGCACCAGTTTTTGAGAGAAAATGATAGTTTTCAGCTGCATATAAAAATGCCTCTTGTGCTTGTGTAAAATTAAATATGACAAATATTTTATTTTCTCATAAAGCTGGTTTTAGCCTGCCTTGTCGTATTATCTCTAATGAGTACTTATATTTCTGCTATCTGAGCAGAAGGGGTGGTACAGGGTAAAGCGTAAAATGGGAAGCCTAGTGCTGCTTGAGTGTCATTCAGCATTATAACCCAGGTTTCATTTTTCTAGTGCAAACTAGAGTCCAGTTTCTGCTGTGGGAGGCACATGTGCATCTTGCATGGATTTCACATGAAAGCTGCTTGAGAACCTCTGAGAGGAGAATTTGTCCCAGTGCCTTTTGATTACAAGCTGGTTCAACTTTGAGAAAAATTGTGCATCACTTCGTACCTGATAAGCAACTAATAAGTTCAGGAAATGTTTAATATCAAAGAGGAGGATTGTAGTCTACAGTAGAAAATAGTTGGATATGATTAAGATAAAGCCAACATACCAGGCACGTTGGACATAATGATTTCTACTTGTGCTTAACATTCATTAGGTTCCTATCTGTCTTATCACTCTAGCAGGTTTTTATCCTGTTATTACATTTTTATTACTTGATTGAGGCAAAACCATAGAAATAGTCCACAGAAAAGATAAAAAATGGTTGTTACATGCTTGTGAAAAACAAATTAAGAATAATTTAAAGGTGTACTGCGGTATCTCAGAAAAAGTATTTGGGGTTATTATATTTTAGTATTTCCCCAATTTTGGAAATATTTAAGTGTAAAATAAGAGATTTTCAAAGACCTATGTGGACATCAGTGAGGTAAAAATGGCGACGATCAGTGGAAGTTGTCTGTGTGTTTTGAAAACGTCTTACTGGACATATTAATATTACCGATGGTATCTGTATCTGGTATCTGTATCTGTATACAGGAGTCCTCCATTTACTTCATTCTAAGTCATCTTTCACTAAAAAATAACTTCAAGGCTTCCAGTGCAATGTTGTCCAATTATTAGTTTGCTAGAGAAATGAGGTAGTTTTTATTTCTTTATTTTTGCTAGTTTCTTGGGTGTTGGTCTCAGACAAGTTTCATGGAACATTTGAGGTCTGAACCACAGGGAGCAAGACTGAAGAGAGTTATTCATGAACTTGGTTTTCCACGATTCTTTTTTTTTTTTTTTTAATGTGGTGAAACTTTTTCGGAGAGCCAGCTGTGCTCCTTTTTCAGGCACATGTAATAGATCAGAATTCATTAATATAGAGAAATATTCCATGTATTCCAAATTACAGCATAAACATTTATATAGTTATTATATAGCATATAAGTAGTGCTACATATTCCAAATAATATTGTAGAAAAGTAGTTAGCATTCCTGGAGTTATAGTTTTGATAAGAAGCGTTAACAGCTAGATTTTTTTTGGCACATCAGGGATTATATTACTTTAGCAGCAAGAATTCTGGGAGTAGAAATTCATTTGTGCTTTTCTCCCTCTGTACAATGGCTACCTTATGTTAATTTCTATTAACATTGTATTCTTTGTGGGATGATAGCTTGTTTAATGAGAAAATACTCAAACCAATCAAGGATTATCAATTTTTGAGGATTAGCATTTTAAGACTGGCCTCTGCTCCCATTTAAGGCAATAACAAAACTCCCATCTGACTTCTTCAGAGGCGTTTTAAATGAGTTTTGGGGGAAATAATAATTCCCTTCCATTTCTGGATCACATGCTTTTGCAGTAGGTATTCCTCCAGATTTTCTAGGCCCCATGAAATGTTTGGGGTATCTTAAAATTCCTAATTGTCTGTGTTCAATTTCCAGAGAGAGCATGTGGGGCTGTGCCAGGTCAGCTGTTAACACTTTTCGTTTTTTCAACTCCAGGTATGAAGTATTTTATTGTGTATTATATAATGTTTTGTGTGTTTGACAAAGTTTAGTGGCAGTTCATTTTAAGCTTTCTTTCCCTCTTTCTTTGGCTGGCTTCAATAGGAGACAGCATTTGGGTCTGTGCCAAGACAAGTAGTTACAGGGTTTTGGGGTTGGGAAAGGCTTACATTTGAGTACAACAAAAAATTATAACTCTTCAGATGTTTGATAAGAAACAGAGTGCAGCCCAAGTGGACTGCTAAAATTAAATAACTTTTTTCACAAGATTCGAAAACTGAAATTACTTCAAATAGGTTTTAATCACTACTGGCAATCCCAAGGTTCACAAGATTATAGAGTGATAGACCAACTGTCACAAAGGAACAAGTTATCCACCAACATACATTGTTTGGAAAAAAATGAGGATAAAATTATCAGAAATGTGTGTTTCAAGTTAGGTTCCTAATTCCATATATTGGTATCTACATAAATACTCTGCTTTTTGAAGCGATGAGCTCCCAGAAAATCTGACTGACGTAAAATGTTGAATATTCCAGCAAATATTGTGAAATCATTGGCAGTTCCAGGAATCTCTAGTTTGCACAAACAGCACTTATGTATAGTTCAGTATGCATATGACATTGATTTTGGGATTAACTGTTTGTGTTGCTATAACTGTTTTTGTTTTTTTCAAATTTTAAAACATTCACAATGAAAATGTCCTAAATTATTTGAGATCATAGCAATATGTGTTTAGTATAAACAGATTTGTTATAGAAAAATCTCATTCCTTAAATTTATAGACTTCAGATTCATAAGTAAATTCAGAGAGGGAGAATATTTGGAAGAAATTCTATTTTGTCATTCATAATTTAACGGTCAAATAAATAAATGATTCCCCTAATCCATTAATAGCATTAATATACTGTTAAAGAAACTTATATTACTGAAAATTCAAACTTCCATTTCTCAGAAATTTACAAAATGGCAGCGGTAACTCACCATCTTGGGCCAGCTCCAGGCACTAAGGCTGTGTCCAGACTCCATGCCTCCGTCGACGGAGGCATGTAGATTAGCCAGATC